CAGAGTGAATTTGTGCAGTCATTTTAATTTTAAAGTTTAATCAACCATATGAAATTTAAACTGTTTAGATTGGTAATCTAGCAAACTTGTTAATTTTTTTATAATTTTTATAAAATTTTAATTTAATAAAGAAAAGTAAAATAAAATTTAAAAACTTTAAGTCTCCGCAGAGGAAAGTCAACTCCGTGCGTCTGTTATGTGTGCGTGTATGGGCATATGATAGCCATGTACTATATTGAAAGAATGATACGTAGATACAATTATTATGGGATTGTTTGTTTTCTATTTTTAAAATTATTTTTTATTTTTGAAAATAAAAAATTATTTTTTTTTTTGAAAATAAAAAATTCAAAAACTTATTTGAATAAATGTTTTCAATTTAAGTAATTGTTTCTAAAATTGTTTTTATTTTTTAAAAATAGAAACACCGTTAAGTTGTTTTTGTTTTTGTTTTTGTTTTCAAAATGCACTGCATTTAATTATTAAAAATTACAGCTACCTTGGCTAATTTTTCTTATAAATCACCACTATGGATCATCTATAGCCATCACTAATGATCTATTATTTAATTCTAAATTTTTTTTAATTAACAAAACCAAATGAATTTTTATTTTGCCTTGTTTTGAAAAATAATTTTAAAAACTGTATTACAAAAAAAATTAAAATAAAAAACAGAAACAAAAACCAAACAGGCCTTAATACTCTCAATTTTTATGATATTTGCAAAGCAGGTTTGATTTAGAGATACACTTGGTGCACGAAAGCGAAGCAGGACAAATTGCAGTGATTGGCGTATTTTATGGAATCGGATTTCCCAATCCTTTCCTACTTACGGTAACAACAACAGCAAACAAACATTTTTCTCTCAAAATATTTCGAGAGAAAATACAAGAATTTTTCTTGAAAATATATAATCATCATCAGTCAGTACATTTTCACAAGAATTTTTTTCTCTCTAAGAGAAACTCTACTTATAGAGAGAATACGTGTTCCCTCTCTTATACTTAATATGAGACAATTTCATAAGTTTTGATTGATCCTTAATAAATCAAATTTAATGAAGAATTAATGAATTATTTCCAGAAATATTCACACATCAAATTGGTTAATTTAGGTCGCATGTTCGACTTCAAGATTTAATAGTAAAGTTAATGATTTTACTTACGGGTAATTTAGGAATTTTATAAAACTTTTCAAAAAAATAAGACTCTTATATAATTTTAACTATATTTCTTAATCCACGTGATTTAATTAAAAAAATTTCTAAATAGAATCAGAGAAAGTACATCTTATTGAACTTGGCTATTTCATCTTATATTTATATGATGTTTCTTTTGTTTTATGTGATGCATGAGTTAACACGCATTTCTCAAGACAGAGAGGCAAGACTACCATTGGGTATGGTAGATCCAGAGCTTGTGATCAACATAGACAGGAATGTGTATTACAGATATATGGGTTCTTTAACAACTCCTTGTCATGAGAATGTGGTGTGGACCATTGTTGGAAAGGTTTCATCTTATTTATTACTTTACCAACAATAAAAGTTACATTAATTAATTAATTAATTTTGTACATGTTGCGTTCTTAATTATCATTAACTTTTCCTAATTCATTTATTTGGTTAAACAAGTTTCGCTGGGGCAAATTGAACTGCTTCGTATTGCGGTTCGAGACGTAAGTTTTCATTGTTTATTTGGAATATGTCACTCCAAATCCTTGTACTTTAATATTATTTGTTTTCAGTTCTTATAGTTTATTTTCATTCATTTTTTTTACTCTATCTAAAATATTGGTCTCTTTATTTTGAAAAAATTTTAGTAGGACATAAATATTGGCCGAAACCATCATTTTAATTTTGCTGAGGTCTGATATCTTATATTCCTCTTTTGCCTTTTTCATTCTCATTCATTTTAAGAAAGTGGGATTCATCTTCTTCTTTTTTTCAATTAAGATCAAATTTTTAATTAGATTATTTTATTTTTTTTCCAGGTCAACATGTTTATTTCTAGTTATTTATTTGGGTTGAACAGTGTTAAGTACATGTCAAAAAAATAAACACTATTTTAGAATATATCAAAAGAGAATGATTTCCTAATATATTAATATTCTTTTCCAAGCTTACTCAACCCCCACACAATTGTGAAATCAAGTCCATCACCACCAACCAACAATTAATCAATCCATATAATTTATAAGTAAATATTCTACATTGGTAATCAACCGTGGATAGTTAATTGGAACAGAGAAAATGTTAGCCATAAAAACTAAATTCAAAAGAGAATTATTTTCTAATATAATAATATTACTTCTTTTCCAAGCTTACTCAACCTCCACACATTTGTGAAAATCAAGTCCAACTCCACCAACCAACTATTAATGCAATATATATAATTTATACGTAAATATTCTATATTGGTAATCAACCATGGATAGTTAATTGGAACAAAGAAAATGTGAGTCATAAAAACCAAATTCCCAAAATTCCACTCTCATGCCACAGCCCTAATTGCTCATTCAATTTACCTCAATTTCTTACTCATCTAACTACACAGCACTCTCAACTATCATTCAATGTCCTAATTACACACAAAGCTCCCAAATTTGCATTTAGGCTTCTCCAAACAATTAACAAAGTCCATCTCTAATTAATATTCCAAACCGATCGATTAAAAATCAAATTCAACCTCCAATAAACAATATTATTACTAAATCATAAAATCACACCGCGGGAGATATAATTTCTGCTGCAAACGGAACTTACTCCTTATGTCTATATATAAAAGGAAAATCATAAACCACAACTTAGTTGGTGTAAATGTCATTAAATAAGTAACTCTTAAATAATCACCAAACCCTAACTTGAATATAATCTTCTCAAAACATGAAATGGGAGAAATATGGACTGATTAAATCTTTAGTCTAATCCAATTTACTCATTTAAACCCAAATTAAAACATGTGATATAATCTCTCCAAATTTGAAATCTATAAAATCATAATCTTCCAACACAACCAAATCTCAAAAACATAGGATGATAACCTCAACATGCAAAGGATCATAATTCTTAGCCCTAGCAGAGTCCCAATCTACCTCCTCTATGAAAAATATTTTCTTTCTTTCTTTCTTTGTCATTTTTTCATTTTTAGCAACCCAGAACCGTTTTTATGGTTTGAATTCGGCACGAACGTCCCCCTTTATCTGTTTACGCTGGTGCCAAATACAACCGCTTATGAAAATCCTTTGCTCTACACACGTTCGGGGAGGAACACAACACTTCTGTGCTGTGTCTATGAACACAACAATTAGAGACACTGCCAAAGACCCCAAAATGCTCCAAAATCACTTTTATCCCATCCTTTAACATACCTAATGCTTCTAAGCCAGAATGATCATAATTAAACAAGTTAAATCTGACTCAAATTAGCCTAAAATCATAACTATCTTACCTAGACCAGCTAATATATACCATTATTTCTTAACTATCACTGCTACTGGTTGTTAAAACTAGACTATGCTTTGAAAATATTGTGAACTAACTCTTCAAGGACTTCTTCCATTTGAGCATGAGTATATGTGTCACAGTATGCATCCTCCTAGTATTGTATGCAAAATAGATTAAAGTCACGTTTATCGATAAAAAACTAATATAATATTGATGAATAGGAAGACAATATATATTAGATCATTTGGAAGAGTTCTAGTTGGAGCATGTTGGATTATGTCCTTCATGAATTTCATGACAGCATACCCACAATCTGTGACTTTGTTTGCTTGCTTTGGGCATTATAATTATACAATGGATAAAAAACCGAACAGTTAATTATGACATGACCTACAGTGATGTTGCTAACATAATTAATTATAAATATATATACCTTGACAACTGTCCATGATGCTGCTACATCTAATCAACTACTATCCTTTACTAGTTGTCGAAATTTTTGATCAACATCAGTGTAATATATGACAATAGCCTTAACATGAAATAGAAAACTTGGTATGAGAAATATTCATATAAAAAGAACAAATTACATATATATACGCAAAAAATTTAATCAACTTACTAATTAATCATTTCCACAATATACAGTCTGTTAGAGGGATGGCAAGGTCAAGGTACCACACCTTTCTTAAAGTTGAATTGATCACAAGTAACATCCAATGTCCCCTATGACAAAAATTATAATTAAGAAGTGTCATATATAATAATTAAATTTTGAATAAATTAAAGTCAAGCATCATAAAGTAACTTACCCTTCACAATAAAGTGCTATGAATATTGTGTTCTTGTTGACACCACGTTACTAGAAGTATTTTGAAAACTTCTGAAATATTTCTAGTCCTTGCTTAGGACTCATTATGCCATGGCCATAAGAAAAGACCATATAAAGATTGACAAATATAATTTTCTGTGCTATATCTCTTCCGGCAAGCATGGTAGTGTAGGGCTTAGTTTGTATTTTGACAATTAATCAGTGAATACAATTTTAATACACATTTGGTTCTTGACATTTTGGCATCAAGACCATTCTCTGGCACCATGCCCCTGGAGACATGATCCAGTGATCATTTTGGCACTCTTGAGCATCGCTTGGACCTACACTACCTTCGATTAAAATATCCAAATATTAAAGACTTATTTAAAATTATTTTTATATTATTATTTTGAGAACTGATATTTTGTAAAATATATTATGAGAACAAAAGATAATAATGAAAAAACTGTTTTTTGTATTCTCTCTTATTCTCCAAAACAATAATTCCAGAATATTTAAAAAGTATTTTCATTTTTCTATTCTTCAAAACAATATTTAATGTTTTTTGTTTTCAAAAATACTTTTGAAAACATGTTATCAAACATATTTTTTTACTTAAACAATTTTTTTCAACTTTTTTAATTAACAAATTGGAAATAAAATCAAACAAATCATTATTTTGCTGATTCACACTCCTTCGCCTTCCTACACGCTCTCTATATATTCATATCTCTCAGGCCACTCTTATCTCACTGTCTCATCTCAAGATTAATTAATGGATGACAATCCCAGAATTTCCATCTTCTTCGTGGCACTCCTTTTCCTCTCTTTCTCTGCGGCCTCTTCTGGTAAGCACACGATGATGATGATCCATGTATATGAATAATCTCTCTCTCTCTCTCTCTATCTATATATATATATATATATCTATATATATTCTGTGGCTTTTAAATATTAATTGGTGTTGGTGGAATATGCACAGAGGATCATGAGTTTAGCTACGACCCGGATAGTGAGAAAGGGCCAGATCACTGGGGAGACATTCGACCTGAGTGGTACAAGTGCAAAAATGGAACCATGCAATCTCCCATTAATCTCAACATTCATGAGTCTCAGTTAACATCCAGTTTAGGCCCTCTTCAGCTCTACTATCATCCCTCCGATGCCACTATTTTCAGTACTGGCCATGATATTATGGTAATTCAACTTATACTAGTCTCTCTCTCTCTCTCTCTCTCTCTCTCTATATATATATATATATAGATATAGGTTAAAGTGTACATTTAGACTTCTAACTTTTCACAAGAGTTAAAAGGAATGGAAATATGTTGGGTAAATGTTCATTTTTGCCCTTGAAATATTCTTTGAAGAACTTCTAGCACTCTAAACTATTGATTGGAATGATTTTACTTTTAAAAGAATTAAAATGAAACATTTTTGCCTTTTCCATCAACTTCCCTAACGATCAATGTTGAAATCTCAATTAATATTTCTAATAGTCAACGTTGGAAAATTGATGATGAGGGCAAAATTACTCTATATTAATTACTTTAAAAGTAAAATTGTTCCAATAAATAGTTTGGGGTGCTATGCGTTCCTTGGAGAATGTTTCAGAGGCAAAAATATACTTTTACTCTAAGATATTTTGTAAAATTAATAAAATAAACTAAAACCATATATAAATAGAGTATCAAAATTCAAAGGTAAAATTTTGCAATATATATAGGTATTTTGCCATTAAACTATTTTCTCAAGGATGCTAGGTGTCCTAAATTATCAAGTAGTTCAATATTGCTCTTTTGAAAGTATTAAAAAGGTGTTAAAGTTACCACTCAATTAAAAATCATCCTTTATTTTGATAGTTAGAATTGATTGGAAAAGTTATGAAAATAGGTTTAAAAATTATAAATAAATATAAATATCCTATAATAAAATTAATATCATTTAAGTGCCAAAAATTACATACAAATGTTAATGGGCTAATATTATTTCTTACCCATAAGTAAAACATATACCAAAATACCATTTTAACTAGTTGGCTACTAGGTGATTGATGACCAACTATTATGGTGATAGTGTCTCTAAGAGAATAAGGATTCATTGGAAGAATGTCAAATAAAGACCTCATAAGAATATTAATGTTAAGTTAAGATTTATTCACAAGTAAAATTCTCAAATTTAGTGCTCATTATCACATGTTTTAGTACTAAAATCTTTATAAAAAAATTTTGATTTGACATTAATCTTCTTAATTATGATATCCTTACTTGTTAGTCTGTCCCATTCCTTAAACCCGACACTACTCTCTCCCCCCCCCCCTCTCTCTCTATATATATATGTATGCATGTATGCTTCACATTTATGACTGATTAGTAATTTGGAATGGTGGCATATAGGTGGAGTGGGCTGGAGACGCAGGCTATCTTCTCATCAATGGAACCAAATACTTTCTCCAACAATGTCACTGGCATTCTCCTTCTGAGCACACTATGAATGGCATAAGGTGCATGCATGCACTCTTTAATCTATATATATATATATATATATATATATGGACTCAGTTTCTCTCTCTTGCCAATCCCTTCGCTGCTCTCCTCCTTGCTTGATAAGATCTGTGTTGTCTAGATTAAATACGGACAGTCCAGATTTAAAGTTTTTAATTTTTAATATTTATTGAAATAAAATTATAAAAAAATTGATAATGTGTAGTATCACCAATTTAGACAATCTAGATTTAATATGGGTGGTCTAAATTTAATATTAATTTTTTATTATTTTTATGAATTGATGATGCAGATTTTTTGTAAAACAATTCATATTAAAGATTTTTAACTCATAATTTTTTTAAAATACTTTTTTTAAAAATTACATGTTAGAATATTATTTATTTTTAATATTGCATTATCAAAATAAAGATTATAGAAAAAACATAATATTAAATATGAACCTTTCAGAGTGAATTTGTATAGTCATTCTAACTTTAAAATTTAATCATCCATATTAAATATAAACTGTTTAGATTGGTAATTTAGCAAACTTATTAATTTTTTTATAATTTCTATAAAATTTTAATTTAATAAATGAAAATAAAATAAAATTTAAAAACTTTAAGTCTTAGCAGAGGAAAGTCACCTCCGTGTGTGCGTTGTGCGTCCATGCGGAGGCATATGTTAGCCGTGTACTATATTGAAAGATTGATACGCAGATACAATTATCATGGGCTTGTTTGTTTTCTATTTTTAAAAATTATTTTTTGTTTTTGAAAATAAAAAATGCAAAAACTTATTTTAATAAATGTTTTCAATTGAAGTAATTGTTTTTATTTTTTGTTCTTTTAAATAGAAACAACTTTAAGTTGTTTTTGTTTAATTTTTTTAGTTTTCAAAATATACTACATTTAATTATTAAAAATTAAAGCTATCTTGACTAATTTTTATTATAAATCACCAATATTAATCATCTATAACCATCATTATCAGTCTATTTTTTAATTTTAAAATTTTAAAATTAACATAACCAAATGAATTTTTATTTTGTCTTGCTTTAAAAAATAATTTTGAAAACTGTATTACAAAAAAAAATTAAAATAAAAAACAGAAACAAAAACCAAACAGGCCCTAATACTCTCAATTTCTATGATATTTGCAAAGCAGGTTTGATTTAGAGGTACACTTGGTGCACGAAAGCAAAGCAGGACAAATTGCTGTGATTGGCGTATTTTATAGAATCGGGTTTCCCAATCCTTTCCTACTTAGGGTAACAACAACAGCAAACAAACATGTTTCACTCGAAATATTTTGAGAGAAAATACAAGATATTTGAGAGAACGAGAAGATTTTTCTTGAAAATATATAATCACCATCAGTCAGTGCTTTTTCACAAGAATTTTTTTTCTCTCTAAGAGAAACTCTATTTATGGAGAGAATACGTGTTCCCTCTCTTATACTTAATATGAGACAATTTCATAAGTTTTGATTGATTCTTAATATATCAAATTTAATGAAGAATTAATGAATTATTTCCAGAAAAATTCACATAACAAGTTGGTTTATTTAGGTGGCATGTTTGACTTCAAGATTTAATAGTAAAGTTAATAATTTTACTTAAGGGTAATTTAGGAATTTTATAAAGCTTTTGAAAAAAATAAGACTCTTATATAATTTTAACTATATTTCTTAATCCATGTGATTTAGTTAAAAAAAAATTTCTAAATAGAATCAGAGAAAGTACGTCTTCTAGAAATTGGCTATTTCATCGTATATTTATATGATGTTTCTTTTGTCTTAGGTGATGCATGAGTTAACACGCATTTCTCAAGACAGAGAGGCAAGAATACCATTGGGTATGGTAGATCCAGAGCTTGTGATCAACATAGACAGGAATGTGTATTACAGATATATGGGTTCTTCAACAACAACTCCTTGTCATGAGAATGTGGTGTGGACCATTGTTGGAAAGGTTTCATCTTATTTATTACTTTACCAACAATAAAAGTTACATTAATTAATTAATTAATTTTGTACATGTTGCGTTCTTAATTATCATTAACTTTTCCTAATTCATTTATTAGGTTAAACAAGTTTCGCTGGGGCAAATTGAACTGCTTCGAGTTGCGGTTCGAGACGTAAGTTTTCATTGTTTATTTGGAATATGTCACTCTAGATCCTTGTACTTTAATATTATTGTTTTCAGTTCTTATAGTTTATTTTCATAGATTTTCATTCATTTTGTTTACTCTATCTAAAATATTAGTCTCTTCATTTTGAAAAAAAAAAATTAGAAGTACATAAATATTGGCCGAAACCATCATTTTAATTTTGCTGAGGTCTAATATCCTATATTCCTCTTTTGCCTTTTTCATTCTCATTCATTTTAAGAAAGTGGGATTAATCTTCTTCTTTTTTAATTAAGATCAAATTTTTAATTAGACTATTTTATATTTTTTTCCAGGTCAACCTGTTTATTTCTACTTATTTATTTGGGTTTAACAGTGTTAAGCCCATCTCAACAAAACTAACACTATTTTAGAATATATCAAAAGAGAATGATTTTCTAATATATTAATATTACTTCTTTTCCAAGCTTACTCGACCCCCACACAATTGTAAAATCAATTCCATCACCACTGACCAACAATTAATCAATCCATATAATTTATAGGTAAATATTCTACATTGGTAATCAACCATGGATAGTTAATTGGAACAAAGAAAATGTTAGTCATAAAAAAATGTTAGTCAATTACTCATCTAACTACACAAACTCTCAACTATCATTCAATGTCCTAATTACACATCTCCCATGCGCTTCTCCAAACAATTAACAAAGTCCATCTCTAATTAATATTCCAAACCGATCGATCAAAAATCAAATTCAACCTCCAATCAACAATATTATTACTAAATCATAAAATCACATATTGGGAGATATAATTTCTGCTACAAATGGAACTTACTCCTTACGTTTACATATAAAAGGAAAATCATAAACCACAACTTAGTTGGTGTAAATGTCATAATTAAGTAACTCTTAAATAATCACCAAACCCTAACTTGAATATAATCTTCTCAAAACATGAAATGGGAGAAATATGAACTGATTAAATCTTTAGTCTAATCCAATTTACTCATTTAAACCCAAATTAAAACATGTGATATAATCTCTCCCAAATTTGGAATCTAAAAATTCATAATCTTCTAACACAACCAAATCTCAAACACATAGGATGACATGGTACATAATAGAGGGAGGAACCTTTCCTTTGTGATTAGGATCAAGTAACCTCAACATGAAAGTATCGTAATTCCTAGCCCTAGCAGAGCCCCAATCTACCCTCCTCTATGAAAAATATTTTCTTTTTCTGATATTGTCATTTTTAGCAACCCAGAACCCTTTTTATGGTTTCAATTCGGCACTAATGTCCCCCTTTATCTGTTTACGCTGGTGCCAAATACAAAAACTTATGAAAATGCTTTGTTCTACCCACGTTAGGGGAGGAACACAACATTTCTGTGCTGTGTCCGTGGACAGAGACACTGTCAAAGACCCCAAAATGCTCCAAAATCACTTTTATCCCATTCTTTAACGTCCCTAATGCTTCTAAGCCACCATGATCATAATTACACAAGTTACATTTGACTCAATGAGCCTAAAATCATAACTAACTTACTCTAGACCAGCTATTTAGTTCAGAAAAATTAAGTTTAGAATGTTACAGTTTGGGCCATCTATCTCATGATCATTCTAAGTATTTTTTAAAAAATATAGAGGCTAACATTTTAGATAGTGCAAACAAAATGGCTGAGAAACCACATTTTCTCTCTCTGTTATTTTTTTTGGCCTTCTATTCCTTTTTCTTTTTTGGAGAGATGTGATTTATTATGACTTTCTTTATTTAGTCATCTTGTGCATGCATTGCCACATATCAATGGAAGTGAAAATGACCAAATTAATGTACTTTTTATAATGCGTATAAAATGAACCTAATCAGTAAGACCTAATTAATTCGTATGCATAAAGTTTATTTTATTTTTTTAATACTTCAAAATTAATATTGGGAATATATCATTATATTATTAGAGAAATCACAGGAAAGATTTAACCTTATCAAAGTTCATCAATCAGGATACGTTCTTATTCACTTATAACCTACATCTGACAAGAAATATTATACTGGTCAAAGTTCATAATCATCATCAAGATTATTACACCTATAGTGGCGGCTTTCATTGTATCTCAATTTATTGCAACAATTAATTTTCACTATGGGTTTAAATTAAACGCTATTATATGCATAAGGAAAAAAAATTCTGCGCAGCAACTTATTGATTTGTCTATTTTTTGCAGGCATTTTATACCAATGCAAGACCACTGCAACCACGAAATAATCGCTTGGTGCAATTCCAAGTGCCAAAAATTTTCTAGTAATTAATCCCACTAGTAAGAAATAAAGTATCGAGTTCTGCACGTTCAAATTAAATAATGATATGTAAAATATTAATGTTGCTGCTACTTTACTATGGATGTAAAATAAAGGTGCTACATTAGTAGCTCACTACACTTGATTTAAATCCCGTGGCATGCTCGAGGATTTAAAGCTAGCTGGCTTTCATTCCTGTACGTTGTACGGATGAACAGTAGTACAATCTACACTATTAGCCATCTTATTTAGATAATGAAACTGAAGCAAACAAAAATTTGTCATTTCATTATGCATTAGTTTCAAACACTATCAATACACTTCGTTTAATCGAGCAGAAAATTATTAAAGTTAAAGAAACAGTTCTCATCAACGTTCTAAATTGTAAGAAAAGGAAACTTATAATTACTACAATAATCTTTGCAGCACAAGTACGCATGTTAGGTTTGTTAAAGTGTTAGCTTTGTTCATTTTTAAACAATGAAATTAAGGATGTAAAGTAAATTCTTGACAGTAAATCAGCTGTGACTTAAGTTCTCTTTATCAGTCAGTTAAAGGATGCTTTATTAGCAGCATGACATGAAGTAATTACTTTTAGTGTGAAATATTAAAGTGTTCCCATTTAGTTTTTGAAAAGAACAAATAACAGTAAAAATCTACCTGGTCAAAACCCATTTAATCCGCTAGTTAAAAGAAGGGATTAGTGAAGATTGGACTTTAAGACAAATTTATAGATTTAGCTTCCATTTAGTGCCGTTTTAGACTTGTTAGTATTCTGCTGATAGCCTTTTCTACTTGTCTCGGTATTATTTTATAGAAAAAGAGAATGGGGTGACTGACCAAATGCAGCTCATAATAATAATCTCAAAAGCCTAAAATAAAGGAGGATCATTGAAAATTGCTAATCATAACAATTACGTATAAATTAAAAGCTCACTTTCAGTTTATCTAATGATCATGTTTTCATCTCAGTGAAAGTGACCCAAAAGATTTTTGTCTTCATTAAATTCACACACATACAAATATTGATTTGAGCACCGTGACTTGGAAACTTATGGCTTGGAATAATGCTTTAGACGTTAATATACAAATAAAAAAGGATCTATTAGGGAAAAAAAAAAAGGGAAAGAAAGTAATTGTGAAATTATGCATTGAGACGGTAAGTGCTTTCTAACTATTTTCCTATTTTATTTTTATTATAATGTTTTGTTAAATATTGTCATGAAGGATGCTTGTAGATTCCTTGTTTGAAGTTTTTTTTTTTTTGTGAATTTCATTACTCATCTTATTTTTTTGGTTTTATTTTGCCACTATGAACTTATCTTATTTTTGGTTTTGCAGAGGAACAAAACGTTGTTGAAGGAGCATGAGCAGAGAGGGAAGTCATCAGTGCTTGTTGTGGTACCATTCTAGCTTTTAGGAGGTAATCCGTTATGCCTAGGAAATTTTTAAAATTTTAAATTGTATGACTCCAAATACTGATGGAATTTTGACTAATTTTTAATCATGTATAATTTTATAATGTTTAATAAATTTATGCTTTTTAGTATTTAAATTGTCTTAATATTATTGAGTAACAATTGATTATAAAATTTATTAGAATGTATTAAAAGATGGGTCCAATTAAGGAGGATATCTTTTTGAAAAAAATAAAGATACATATGGGAACAGTTTTTTGATAAGCGCTCACTACTACAAATATGGTCTATTGGAGTATGCATATCAGAGCGTTTCTAACAAAAACAAAAAAATCGATATAGAAAGGCAAAGCATACTGGAGCTTTTCTAAAAGCAAACGCTCCAGTAAGTTTAAACCTATGGGAGCTTTTTAGTCAATAAAAAGCTGCTATATGTTAATTTTATCCTACAGGAACGTTTTTACATGAAAAAACTCCCATGAAGTTTTTAAAGTAAAAAAATAAATAAAGTATTAAGAATTTTAAATACTTATAAAATATAAATTATTATTTTTAAAAAATAAATTTATATTATATAATTAAATTTTTTGAAAAAATTTATTTTTATAAAATATAAAGTATTTTCAAAATATTATCTTTAATATTTTATATATTAAAATGTTAAACGCTATTGCAAAGTTGAAATTATTAAAAATAAATAATAATACAAAAATAATAACTATCGTAAAATTTTAATATAAAATTCACAGATATTATTAATTTTAAATTATTTTAAAAATAAAATACACATACCGGAACGTTTCATAATTAAAAAATCTCTCATAGATAACATTTTTTTTATTTTTTTATTTTTCAAGATCTATGGGAGCTTTTCTTATAGAAAAAGCTCCAATAGGATGAGAGAATATGGGAGCATTTTTTTTTTTAAAGCTTCCATATACGATATTTTTATTTTTAAAATTTTTAAATACCTACAGGAGCTTTTCCAATGAAAAAAGGTTCTATAGGTTGGAGAATATGAGAGCGTTTTGTCTCTGAAAAGCTCCCGTATCCTATTTTCTTTCTTTCTTTCTTTTTTCTTTCTTTCTTTTCTTTTTTGTTTTTGTTTTTTTTAAGTTCATTGGTGCATATCACATTTCTCCATATCAGCTCTATTTCTTCTCCACATCTCTTCTGTATCAGCTCTAGTCGTCTTCTGCGTTTCATCCTCGGCTTCGTCTTCTGCGTTTCTTCCTCCATTTCTTTGAATACCTAGCTCTGTCTTCGAATACTAGTTCAGATCTGGAGTTTGAGTTGATTGCTCGAGGTCCTTCGAGTCTGGGTTCGACGCCACAGTTTCTAGATCTGAAGGTCCATCGCCCATTTTCTGCATGCTGCTCGATTCTGAGTCGTCAGTCATCTGCGTGTGCACGTGATCAAGTCTAGGTTTGGGTTCCGTGTGCGAGTCCGTGATTCAAGATTAATCAAGGTACTATTATCAAATCTCACCTTGAATCTGGGCTTTGGCTGGCTGGCTGTGGTTCCATTATGTAATGTTATTTTGATTTTTACCTTCATTCAAAATTGAAAGTTTGATGCTCGTGGATCAATAATGTTAAATCTATTTGGTGTTGCCAACTAATCATTCTGATATCAGAGCAATTTCGGCATTACATTTGTTAGCTTTTTGTGAAAACTGCATTATATGTGTAAATTTTATTCAAGAGAGTAGCGTGACGCAAATGACATTACATGTGGTTGTTAAGAGAGCAAGTTAGGGTGTCTGGGATTTGGAAGAAACAGATAAATGGCAGAGACAGACACATGTAACTAGATTCTTTTGTTTCCCGATGACCTGATGATTGCTTGCAATGGTTAATGCAACATCAAACCTTATTCGCTCATCACAAAGGGAAGTTTAATGAACATCTCACTTTTTTTAAAAAATGGTATTCTGATATAGTTCTTGCTAGAAAAAGATCATAGATTCTGAACTAAGCTAAGCATGTCTTCCAATGCTCTTCTCCATCTGTAACAAAAACAAGTTGGCAGAATTGCATGGAATAACTTCCTCTCATGAACCACAGTAAAATTCATCAAGTATTTAACACATTATGTGCCCATTTGGATTTCAATTGGGTATAATTGATTATAAAAATAATTGATTAAATAGTTAATTTTAATCACAATTGATTATGTTATAATACAATCTATATGAACTATTTTTTTAAAATTAATTTTAACAAAATTAAAGATGTTTAGATAAGTTAATCAGAATTAATTTTAGCTGTATAAATTACGACATTACTTTTCAAAATTAAATTAGTAATATATTTGTATCTAATATTATTAAATTTTTTAAATTTTATTTAAGAAGTAAAATATATTATTTAAATTACACATATGATTAATTATAAAAACTTAAATTATATTAATATTAACAATTTAATTTATGTAAATAAATAACTTAATATATCTTAGTTCAGATAAATTTAATAAAAAATAAAGATTTAATTCTTAAATACCAAACATTAATTTTGCAATAACTAATGAAGATGAAAATATACAAATTGATCTCTAATGATATTATGGATATGAACTATATCTGATGAAAATGTTAAGCACAACCTTAAAATTTTGGCCAAATATAGAAAATGTAGCAATGTCACAAATGATGCAAAATCTCTCTCTCTAGACTTTTGCAATACTCTTTATAATGACTCTAAATTTTAAATTAAATTAAATTAATTTTTCTCTACCAATTAATATTTTATTTGAATTAGTTTTATAATAAGTGCTAAGTGGAGGGTGGTGATTGACAGGAACTTATGCTAGTAATTTTTTTAGAGATCCAAAGTTTAAATTTTATTAAGAAAAAAAAAGAGAAGAGAAGAGAGTTTGGTTTTATTTTTATTAAATTTTGTGCTTTCTTGTAATTTTTTTTGGAAATTTTTTTATGATTTTCCCCAACATTTTTGACAAGCTTTTCCGCAGAAGCTCAGATTTGTAGCTTCTAAAAAAAAAAAAGCTAATTTTCTCGAACAATCTATTAACTAAAAAAAATGATGTTAGGGTAACTTTTCTCATTAATCGATTTTTGGCCCCAAAAATCGATTAACGAAGAAATCCAAATAGGCGCTATGTAATCAGTGGGAATGTGTTATTATATATTTTAAGAGACCATTGGGAAGCGTGAATCTTTTTAGAAAGGGGAGAAATACTAGTTTTTCTTTTTTTCTAGCTTCTGCTCTCCAATCTCTTCGACTCAGTTCAGTTCTAGGAGTTTCATTGTCAACAACACCAAGAGATCCACATTGGATTCCAATTTCTTGCATTAGCTCTGCCTTCCCAGATGCTAAGTGTGCCTGCTTCAGGTTCATTGGTTAGTTTTGAAATATGATCAATAGATCCATTAGGTGTCACTTCTTCATGCCTAAGACCATGAGCCCGTCTTGCATCTTTTTTCCAATCTCTATTACAATATACGCGGGTCATAAAATTTTGATTGCCTTTTGATTGTGGTTCTTCTTGCTGTAAGGATTTTTTTATATGTCACTCGGATTACAATTGTGAATTTTTTTACTTTATTTTTTGTTGAATTTGGCTGTTGTTGTACGATTGGAATGGAAATATTTTGGATAAGACTCTACTGAAAATTTTGTCATAATTTATTAGAATTCTAAGTTCTTGAACTTATTTACTATAATGTTTTAATTTTTACGGATCAGTGGGTGTTAACATGTATTGATCCTTACATTCTTGTGTTCTATTATACCGACCAAACTCATGGTAGTTCTGATCATTGCAAACCAATGAAGAGATTATATAATCAATAAGAATCCTAATCTTTATTTGTGATATATGTGTGATATAACAATCAAGCATTATTTAAAGGCTGTGGCGATGTTTTGAGGAAATATGGGACTCCAGCACCAAATTGGAAAACCGACTGATTACTGTAAGTGAATAAGAATAAAGGTTTGTATCATTTATTACTTCTAAGTGATTATTTGACTGATGTTTTTAATATTTTTTCTCTCTAAATATGTTGTCCTGGGTTGCTATAGAATTACTAGAATACTGGGATGTCTACCTTTTCCAGACTTTGCTCCGCAATTTTAATTTAATGTGTTAATTAATATTTGTTAAATTTAATCTGGTTTATAACATGACAAAATTTGGATATTCACTTTTTTCTTTTATTTTTTTTTATAGGGACCAAGACAAGGGAATGCAAATACTAGTACTACACCATGAAATCCATGAAATCCATGAAAGATGTTATCACACATGGAGAAATAGTCATTCTAAAAAATGTAAGTATTTTAAATCAGTTTTATTAAATTTAATAACTAATTTGATTAGTTATATGTTATTTTATCTTATAGTTCTTTGAAGATGCTCCATGCAAGTCTTACAAGATGAAAAAATAAGATGAGTTAATAAAGTAATAGTTAAAATATGTTATCAGATGTTTACAAGGTATTCAAAGTGGTTAGAATTTGTAGTTTAGGTATACATATAGAAATATTATGAACATTATATTGTTTAGTTGCTTATGAGTTTTGGTATGTAAAAGAAATACTTTGATCTTTAATTATAGTTGGTCCTTAAAATTAAATGATAGCTGCTTTGTTGAATTTTGTATTGTCTTTTTAAATTGTTGTGGTGCTGGGTTTTGTCTAAAATATTGATTATGATATATAATGCAAATCAAATGGAAGAGACAAAATGAAAAATTATTAAAAAAATAAAATACCTACCAGAGCATTTTGTGGAAGAAAAGCTCCTGTAGGTGGGAGCTTTTTTTAACAAGAAAACCTCTCATAAGGTATACCTACAAGTGCTTTTTGTCCTATAAATACTCCTATAGGTCTCCTCTATGAGAGCGTTTTACAAACGCTCCCCTATATTCAGTAACTCTTGCTTTGCAAATGCTATGAAAGCCTAAAACGAAATGCTCTAAAAAGCTTTTTTTTTTCATAGTAGTGGCTCTTGTAGAGCCATATACGAGGGCGGTTCTAAGGAGAATCTCTCCTGTAGAGCCATACATGGGAGCGCTTTCATAGAACTCATTCAAACTCATTTTATATTTTTTGTTGGGATGTCTACGGGAGCATTTTTAGGAAGTGCTCTCTTAAGAGTGGCATACAGGAGTGCTTTAAAAAGCGCTGACATATATATAGGAGTGCTACCTATGGAAGCACTTTAGAAGTGCTCTAGAAAGCAAAAAATAAGCGCTTCAAATGACATTTTTTGTAGTAATGTTATTACTATGATAACTTCTTACTAAAATTACATAATTATATTAAAAAAATATTTTCTATTTACAATGAACAATCGGTCTCTACAATTTGTTATTGCCAATAGTCATTTAAAATACGCTTAAAAAGAAATTGTGCCCTTAAACTATAGGTTTTAGAGTTTGGAACTCTACACTCATTTTCAGTATAATGTTCTCCTTTAATATTTAAAAACAGTGTAATGTTGCCACTACTATTAATAAAAATTAACTTTAATTATTAGTTGACAAAAAAATTACAAAAAAAGATATCAAAAATTACATAAAAGGATCCAAAAATATAAATAAGTATCATATAATTAAATTTATAATTTGATGGTCTTTTTTTATAACTTTTGAAGTCATTTTCTAATCAATTAATAATTAAAGTTAATATTTGTTAATAGTAAAGATGATAGTGTGTTGTTTTCCAATGTTGAAGAGGAAGATGGTGCAAAAATGAGTTTAATTTAGTCCTAGACAATTTTGAGCCTATAGTGTAAGGGCAAAATTGCCATTTAACCATTTGCAATATATTAATTTAGATTATAAGAATTTTGTATAAACAATTAAAAATGTATATATTTATATATTGTTATAAATTTCTGAAATTTCATTAATTAAATTGTGAAAAATAATATCTTATGGCAAAAAGTAAAATAACTAATTAATATTGGTCTGAAGGGAAAAAAAAAATCGCTTAGCGAGTATTTTTCTTTTTTCCTTAAGTAATGGAGTAGGCTCGATCATGATTTTAGGGACAAAAGTACCATTTAATGTTTTAAAATATATTTACTTAGATTATAGGAATTATCTCTAAACAATTAACAATGTATATATTTATATATTGTTATGACTTCATAATTTTCATTAACTAAATTGATAAAAATAATATCTCATGACGAAAAGTAAAATAATTAATTAACATTGGTCAAAAGAAAAAGAATCACTTAGCAAGTTTTTTCCCCCTTGTAAGCATAATGAGTAGGCTTTGTCAATAATAAAGAATATTTCTTTTAAGGTACTGAGATTAATGTATAAATTTCTATCAATTAAATTACTACACGTGTAAGAGTTCATGTTCGAACCACCAACTATTCATTTGAGTAATAAGAATTTCTACCACACATCAGCATTAGTTTGTTGCTTAAAAGTAAAAACATATACTTCCTCTAGTCTTATTTATAAATTACTTTTAAGATATTTTATTAGAATCAAGAAAAATTTTAAACCTCATTAATTTTATCTTAAAATTTAATAAGTTTTCATCTTTATTCTTAATAAATGTTCTTAAATTTCATTACTGACATTTTTATTTAAAATATTTAAAATATTTATTACTTATTAATAGGATCAAATTTTTTTTCTTTGTATATAAATAGGACAAGAGGAGTAATAAGTTCGAGAACCCCAATTGAGTTCCACTTGAAACTAAAAATGCTTGAGCTTCAAGGTAAATATTTTTGGAATTTGTCTCGCTTTCTAAGACTTTTCATCTAGGTAATTGCTTGGTATAACCCACCCAGGTTGGTAAAAAATGGCCCAACATAAAAAATTTGGATATGTTTGGGCTGAGCCGAAAATTCGAAAGGGCGGTCTCACACACACACACACACACATTTCATGTCTTCCAGAGAGTGAGAGGGGATTAATTTTTATTTCCAAGTTTTATTATCAATTTTTAGTGTGCTCTAGAATCATCATATTTTTATTGAGAAAATAATAAGTTTCTTGAATTTGTTTAAAACTATATCTTTAATTATAGGGAAATATACTATGAAGGTTTTTATATTTTCTCTCAATTTTAAATTAGAACCCTATAATTTATTTTGTTTTAATTAAGCTCTTGTAATTATATCCCTAGAATTAGGAAATAAAATAATACTCTTTTCTCAATTTTTTATAATTCACTTTTAACATTTTCACTAAAACTAAAAAAAAGCTATTAACTTAGTCAATTAATTAACAAAATTTTCAACTTTATCCTTATTAAACTAGAAGCCTAACAGCCAAATTTAAAAAATATATTAAAAACCAACGTTAAATAAAAGTAATACAAAAATTAATAAATATCTTACATGATGCCTTATAAAGAAAACAAAAAATAGCTGGCCTCCAAATAATTACTCACTCCCCTCAGTGTTATACAACATTTTCTCTGACGGATTATGCTAAAAGATACAAGAAGTCACAGGACATTTAAAAAATAATCAATACGATTTTTCTACAAATGATTTAATTGGGAGTGCAATTAATAAGGTTTTTTTAATTGAAACAGTATATTTTCTCTTGTCTTATTTATAAAATACCTTTTAAAAGTAATTTTTGAACCAAAATATAGAACACCTTGTAATAAATAAACTATTTTTTTTCAATTTTATCCCTTTTTGATTGGTGTAAAAGTATTTAATATAGTTGTATTATTATTTAAAGTCAAGGATAAAAATGATGGTACCTTTAAAAATGAAAGTACTTTTTACTTTTTTGTGATATCAATAAAAAAATTATTTTTTTAAAATACGTCAAATAATTGAAAGTGTTTTATAATAATAATTAAAAGAAATATTAAATAAGAGTATTAAATTTTAACATGTTTTATTAGAATTAATAAAAATATTAAATTTTATTAATTTTGTCTCAATAATGAATTTTTGCCTCTACTCTTGATAAGAATAAAAGAAAAGTTATTTTTAATAATTTTTTTAATATTTATTAAGAGTAAAAATGTCAACAAAATATAAAAAAATAGTGAACTGTTCTATAACTATAATTGAAATTAATTTTTCCTCTCAAGCCACAAGAATAGAGGGGTAATTGGACTGAGTTAATATGTAACTTAAATTTTAAACTACAGAATCAGGGACAATTAAATTCTAAACTCATATTTGGTACTCCTCCATTTTAAATTATAATTCACTTTTAGATAAAATATTACATACCAATAAATCTCATTAAATACACTTAACAATTTTATCTTTTCGAAACAAACATATAAATTTTTTAAAATACCTATCATTTAACATATTAAAAAGAAAAGTGATGAAAATTAATTATAGAAAAAAAGTGTGATATTTAAATTGATACATTTAATAAAATTTTAATTTACTTAAAATGTTTTATATTTTAAAACAGAGAATCTCTTTAAAAAATATCTTATAATTTAGAATGGAAGAAGTATATATTATAAACCTTAAACAATTAAAAAAAAATGAAGCTTCATGTGCAATGTTTGTCAAATTTCACTCTCCCTCTCTCTCATGCTTGTTTTTGAAAAAAAATTTGCATGTCAAGCCTTATTTTTTAAAAAATAATAGATGTTTATTTTAATTTAACAGTGAGCAACGAAATTGCCCCTATTTAATCATTTAGAGTGTAAAATATATTAAATACGAGTTTAGAATTTAAAAGTCGGATTCAAATTATAGATTAAACTTATAATTTAAGGAAATATAATTTTAATTAATTCTTATTTTGGTGTCTTCAATTGCACTTGAAGCTCTGCTATGGCGGCACGCAAACCATGAGGTTTGATCTGGTAGTTGGAAAACACTCATCCCATGACAAGTGTGACCTTGAGCGTCCATATCTCCCTTGCGGCACTTGCAATGTTCGTTCTCAAGGTAAACCCTTCAAAATTCAAATTCCAATGCATCCCTCTATCCCTAATTTGTCATCAGCTCCTACGATTTGCTTACTTTACCCTTTCTTCTTGTGCTTCTTTTCATAACTTGTTTCGATAGGCATGGAGATCAACGGCTTTCGCTCTTTATGGGTACCTGAATTTCACCAAAGCTGGATTTCTGTGAGTCCCTTAGTTAATGCCCTTTCCCACTTTGTTTGTTTGATGAGTAAGCCATCTGGGAACTTTCTTGCTAAGATAAATTGCGGTTCCTATTTTCTAGGAGTATCAGAGACGGTTTTGATTTGTTTGTTTAATGTCTCTTTTATAAATCGAAATTTTGCTGAAATAAACTACTTTGGACTTGCTTATCTTCTATCATTTGTTTTATTTTTCAATTTTGGGGAGTTTGCGTGATGGAATTACTGTATGCACTCACGCGCCCTGGTTATCCAGTATTGCTGAGTTGAGGTAAAATGGGGGCAAAAGAATTTTAACAATTCTTTATCTTTCTAGGCTTTGCTAGCGTCGTGATCAGGATGCAATAACCTCATATTTTGTTTCTAAATTTGGAGATAAAGATTGGTCGTCATTTGGAGGGGTTTTTTTTTTTAAAAAAAATACTTTATTGGAGGTTAAAAACAAATAAAGATGGCGGCTTCGATGTTAAAATCTCCCATTCTTGCCTTGGATAATTTGTGAAGTTCTTTATAGGGAGCATTCGAAGAGATTCAAACCAGAGGATATGGAAGCAAAAATACCCGGTAAAAATTGCATTATTACTGGAGCAAACTCCGGAATTGGCTATGCGACAGCAGAGGGTCTTGCCCAACGGTAATGATCTTTGTCTAACCTTTTGTCTCTTCAATTCCATGTTTTCAGTACATACGTATTATAATTAATCATGTTTTCTCGAGCATGCATTACACGAAATTTGATGCATGAGTTAAATTCATGATTTATGAATGGTGCCATTTGCTATAGATTTTATATTGATATTGATTAATGATTCCACCAGTGGTGCAACTGTATATCTTGTATGTCGTAATAAGGAGAGGGGAGAGGCTGCTCTTTCTAAAATTCAATCTACAACAGGCAATCAGAATGTTCATTTGGGTATTGCAATCATCTTGTTGCTTATCCTTTGTATTTTGATATAATTAAATAGAACAGCAATTTTTGTTTTTTACTAAGAACAGCATTAAACATCATGCATCGCACATGAGTTTTACTGCTCTTCAGCAATTTAATTAGTGGCTGTCTATGCTTTCATACAACCTGCTAATTGCTAATTTGACTTGCAGGTTTGTGACCTTTCTTCTGTCAGTGAGATCAAGTCATTGGCATCCAGATTTTCCAAAAAGGATGTTCCGGTTCATATGTTGGTAAATTCTTACTCACCCTTGTGCTTTTATAAATTTTAGTTCTTGCGGAAAATGTAACATGTAAATGTTCAATGTCAAGATAAACAATGCTGGCACACTTGAGAATAATCGAATCACCACATCAGAAGGGTGCGTCTCCATTATTTTATATGAAAAATTGAGTTATTGGCAAACTCTATTAACATCCTACATTAATAGGACAGCTTTTAATGCAATCTGCCATATTCCAGGTTTGAGTTGAATTTCACAGTTAATGTATTAGGCCCTTATACCCTGACAGAATCAATGTTGCCATTACTAGAGAAAGCTGCTCCTGATGCTCGTGTTATTACAGTTTCCTCTGGTGGAATGTATGCTTCTCCCTTGACCACTGATCTCATGGTAATTCTTTTATGAACATGCCATCTTCTTCAGTCATGTCATGTGCATGATATCAGTATTAATTATATATTGTATTGTTGTTATCCAGTACTCTGAGAGCAACTTCAAAGGGGTTGAGCAATATTCTCGAAATAAGCGTGTCCAGGTCAGTTGAACTAAGGACTGTACACATTTAGAGTGATTCTTCTTTTAATCTTTTATTATTTTAGTGTCACATTAAACTTTATGGTTGCCCTTTTGAGGTAGCAGGAACAGAAATCAGGCTTTAATTTGACAGTTTAGAGTGGGGGAGGGGGAATAGAATCAATTTTCAAATGGCCATTTATTTTGCATTCAACTAAGAAAATGGGAAGGCCTTTTTTGTTTGATTCTGTATAAACTAATTACAGATATTATTGTAAAACACAATTCGCTTTTCTCTTTGTTAGATGGTATATAACAATTAAACTAGAAATTTCCTGTTTCCAACAACAACTCAGTGGGTTTTTTTTTTTTCATTAAAAGAAAAACTATATTGTCTCATGATTTGTATCCCCTGTCTCTGTGTGCTATGCTCCCTTTTCATTTGCACTCTGCTTCATAGTGTTTGTTTTGGTCTTTTTAAGTTTTGATTAGTTAGTGAATTCTGGGAAAAATGGAAGAACTTTGATCGGAGTTGACTGCTGCTACTTATAGGCTCTGTAAATTTTACTCAATTAATGCTGATCAAAATAATGTAAAAGGTTCCATAAGGATGGGCCTCCTTCAAGTAGAATTATGGAAGGGCCACTTCTTAATAGGCTGTTCAGTGTTAGTAATTTCTAAAAATGACGTGACTAGGAAAGTGTCTTCATTTAGTGAAGGAGAAATTGTCTTTTCCCATCGATATAACTAATCATATGCCTGATTATGGCATGACATGAGATACATAATGGATGAGATACTATTAGAAAACAAAGTAATAAGAAGGCAGTGTTCAATTGGATTGGTACCGAGTGGATTGAGGACAGATTGGTGTCAAGAAGGGCTTGAAAAATTCAGATTTGGAAGTTGAGAAACTTGGGATAATCCTTAGCAGAGCTCTACTGAACTGCTGGTGACAAAAGGGAAATGAAGTAAAATGGGACATGCAGTGGAGAAAGACTTTACCTCATTTCCATAGTTATCCTGCCGCCACCTTATTTTATGGGTGAAATTATGACAGGTTGTTTGTTCTAGGAAAAGATGTGGGAGCCCATCATCAGAAGTGAATTCAGTTTAGGGACATGTGTCTATAGTGTGATGCTAGTTGTTGCTTACGTACATCTGTCCTCTGTTAGTTTCTAGCAGTTACTTTCATTTTATGCCCTATGTTTCTTGTAATTATCATAATTGTTGTTATGGGCTTTAAATGCATGCTCTGTACTTGTGACTTATTATCAATGAAGTATTATTCAGTCTAATTTGGAGATTTTCCTATTTCTAGAATGCAGATTCTGGTTCTAGAAGATTTTCTCCTTCATGTTCCTTTCTCTCTTTTCTGCCCTTCCTTTTATTTCTACCAACTTTCTACCAAAATATTAGCGGACATGTTGAACTAAGAGGAGCTCTGGCATGTTTAAATGCTTAGTTCGTTGAGGCTGTGCCTTTTGTCAACACTCAATGGGATTACACCAAGCTGAGATTCTTTGATTCATTTCATTCTGCACATTCCCTTCAACTTATTGTAAACCATGCAGTAATAACTGAAATGTTTTATTCCCTCAAAAGAGGAACAATCTGATGTCGTAGTAGCATGCGTGCATTGGAGACTCTTGGCTGTGGTAGACCACCCTTTCTTTAGTTTCACAAAAAGTGTTCAATTCCTTGAACAATTTAGCTTTACAGTGAAATCCATTTCTCGGATCACGCCTCTATGCTTTCAATTCTACAAATTTTATGCAGTAAAACCCTAATGTGACATACATTAAGTGGGGGACCTTAAGGAAAACAATTTTTACTTTTCTTGTAAGTGATGTTCTATGTTCAACCTGGGATCGTGCACACATACGTAAAGGTTTTGTTTGATTTTGTATTCTGTATCATATCATCAATAGCATTACTTATTTAGTCCAATGGACCTAATGATGATCCACTCTAAGTAGAGAAAGAATTATGGTGCTATTGTTATTTCTGACTGCTCATGAAATTGGATATACAAAATGAAATAGTTTTTGTAAATTTTCTCATATTACTGCTGATTGAAATTCATTACTTTAGCTATATTAAGTAACCCTTCATTTGACAAACTTGAATTCTTAGGAGAAGGCAACAATTTTATTATAATCTGTAGGACACATGTTTTCACATAAACCTTTTGGGCTTGAAATTATAATCAATAAATTTATATGTTCCAGGTCGCACTAACAGAAAAGTGGGCTGAGAAATACATGAACAAGGGGATAGGATTCTACTCAATGCACCCAGGTTGGGCTGAAACTCCTGGAGTTGCCAGGAGTTTGCCAAGCTTCAATGAGAAGTAAGTCTTGACATTATTCTTGAGGATAAAACTTAGTGAGGTTTTATGAAGTCATTTTCTGTTTGGTTATTTATTTAGGGGAAAATCACACACAAGGACCGCTGAAATATGTTATTTGCAGACACAGATTAATAGCAAGTCATTGTTTGGGAAAAAAAAGTCCATGTTCCCATCTTAACAACAATCAATTTCTTATTTGTTCTTGTTAGCTAATAATATTTTTCAGCAGTCCTTGCATGCAATTTTCCCTCTATTTAATTAAAGCTGCTACATCAATTTTACAATTGCGCATTATTTTGCAATTTTACTAGTGAAAATTTAAAATTCAAATCCTAGTTAATTTGTGGAATTAGAGATTAATTTTCCAGAAGATCAGAATTGAGCTAGGCCATGCAATGTCGTCACCCTCGAAATGACGAGGCTTGCTACTGTTAATTTTAACTTGAATTGAACATTTCAAAGTGTTCCATTATTTTTTAAGGTTTGTATATCAATTTTACGATTGGGCTTTAGTTCACGGCAGGTATAATGTAGTTTCCCTGTAAAATTGTAAATTATAATTGAACATTTTTAACAACTCAGCACTACCTTTTTGAATCCTTTTAAAGGGTTTCTCCACATGTGGTGTGACGATTCTTTTAAAAAAAGACTAACAAAAATTTTCCCATCAATGAAACCAATGATATTATTAAAAGAAAGATAAACATTAATTGGCAGATTTTACAGAGTCCTTATTTTGATTTCTATCATTCTGTGATTCATAGACTTAAGGGGAAGCTTAGAACAAGTGAAGAAGGTGCAGACACTGTGATTTGGCTGGCTCTTCAAGCCAAAGATAAACTGGTACCTGGGGCATTTTATTTTGACAGAGCTGAAGCACCCAAACATCTTAAATTTGCTGCTGCCACTGGGTCTCATGCTTTGATAGACTCTATTATTAGTAGTCTAAACTCCATGGCTTCTCTGTCTGCCTAGGTGGAGTGCTTTTACCGTGAAACTGAAAACCTAATTCTGTAAATTATATTTTAAACATACGTTAGTGAAAGTAATTGACATTGTTCCTTAGATCTCAAGTATCTTTGATCTGACTGGGACTTGAAAGCCCAAACCTGGACTAAAAATTTGGTTGCAGTGATGCAATCACGCAAAAGCACTTGGAGACCCATGGCAGGTTTCACTGATTAGATGACAAGTTGCACCTGTCTGTTATGTTTATATTTTAGCCTCTCTTATTTTCTATCTTAAAAATATAGCATGTAATAATCACTTTATACATCAAATCCCATTGTCTGTTGCATTTAAGTTGAGCTACTCTGTATTTGATATATTTCCTATAATCCAAATACGTGATTGTATCATTCTTACTTTCTCATGCCTCCTTTAAACCTTGAATAAATCTTCTCAGCTGTGCAGCTAAAGAGCTTCGTAGCATGAGAACCATTACTTTGAGACAAAAATAAAAGAGGACAACCCTTTGATTGGATGGTCCTGAATTTTTTAATTTGTCACCTCTTCACTCTGTTCAGGGATGGAGGGTACAATTCTCAACGAGTCTGAAGAATAATTTAATTGGGTTATCATCCACAATCAGCATGTCCCAATTCCTCATTTTCCTTACTCCACCTTTTAAAAGTATATGGTATTTTTAAGTTTTAACTGAATTACGCCCTCAATAAATTGGTTGTTTTAAAATTAAAACTATTTTTTCATGTTTACTTTTGTTTAATAGAGTATTTCATTTAAAGGTGAAGGGTTGAATGATTTATATGTTAAGTGTATTTTTGAAAATTTGTCACCTCTTCACTCTGTTCGGGGATGGAGGGTACAATTCTCAACGAGTCTGAAGAATAATTTAATTGGGTTATCATCCACAATCAGCATGTCCCAATTCCTCATTTTCCTTACTCCACCTTTTAAAAGTATATGGTATTTTTAAGTTTTAACTGAATTACGCCCTCAATGAGTTGGTTGTTTTAAACTTAAAACTATTTTTTCATGTTTGCTTTTGTTTAATAGAGTATCTCATTTAAAGGTGAAGGGTTGAATGATTTATATATTAAGCGTATTTTTGAAAAGAAATTCATTGATTGCACATTGAAAATTAAAAATGTCTCATACTTTTTAACATTCAATTTCAAAAAAATATTTTATATTTTTAAATGGAGGGAGTATAATTTAGGGTTAATAAACAAATGGGATCTTGAACTATTGTTTGAAAATCGCTTTGAATTCTGAACTCTTAAAATATGCAAAGTAAACCTTAAACTTTTAAATTCATGGCAAAATAAACATTGATTGTTAACTTTTTTAACACCATTATTGTCTACATGGATACTGTAATAGTCAAGGTTAAATTTATAAAAAAAAAAATAAACCCTGAACAATACTTGCGTAAATAGTAACGATGTTAAAAAGTGAATAGTTAAGATTTATTTTGTTATAAATTTGAAATTTTAGGATTTATTTTATATATTTTAAAAGTTCAGGTTCAAGACGTTTTTTGACCAAAAGTTCAAAATTCTATTTACTTATTAACCTTATAATTTATTGAGATGCTGAGTATTAATTTCACTTGGTTTGGATTTCTCTTCCATGGAATTGGAATGGGGTGTTTGATTGAGCTGGCTCAACCAGACAGCTTTTAAACTGTATTTATTGTCGGCATCCACTTGCAGAACATTGTGATCAAGAGGGATATGCTAGCAATTCAATCACCAGTCAAATTCAAGGTTATAACTTGATGAAAGCAAAGCTAAGTGAAGGGAAATATGGAAAATGGATTTCACAATTTTGTCGTCATCAATCTGATGACATGTCATCTGGCCCTTGACATTCAGGGTATGGTTATGATTCATATTCCGATGAAGTGTTTTCCTTGTTAAGGAAAACAAAAAAGGTAAAGTGTATTTTAAATACTCGACTATTTGTTTAGGGGGTGTTTATTATTTTAAACTTACATGTGGTATTGTTTTACTTTTCAATATTTAAAAATGACGCATTGAATACTCTATTAAAAAAATTAACTTTGATTATTAATTTATCTATAAAATTATAGAAAATGACATAAAAAATTACAAAAAAATAAATTAACTCTTAAAATTAATATCAATTAAGTTACTAAAATAGACAGTAATTTATAAGTCTTCCTTAAAAAATTTATAGCTCATGTAAAAAATGTGTTCATTTAAAAATAATAAGTACACTCATTAATTTGTAAATTTCTATAAAATGTATAAATTTTAAAAGTTAACTTGTAAATTGTATATGAAGATTTGTAAATAATAATTAAATTATATATATATATATATATATATTAAATTTTTAATATTTTAACATGATATTATTAAAGCAAATAATTTTTTTAATTATTTATTGGTGTTGTTGTCAACAATTGTGATATGCTAATTACCCTGTTGCTAGTTAAATTGGTTGCTCAAAATTACATTTTGGTCTTTTATATGGGGAAAAAATAATATTTGTATCCTAATATTCATATGTAACTAAGGAGATTTAATTTATATTAATTTTTTTATATATTACTTATGTGTAATTTTGTCATTTTCTATAATTTTTGAAGTCTTTCTTTTATAATTTTAAAATCAAGTAATGGTTAAAGGTAACTTTTTTTAATGGCAAGTATTTAATATATCATTTTTAAATGTTGAAGGGAGAAATTATATCACATGTAAGTTTAAAATATCATAACTGAATAGTTGAAGGGTAGAAATTTTTTTAATCCAAAAAGTTAATTTAACAATTACCAAACACTAGGATTGACAAAAGCTCCTACGTTGCAATTGTCTATCTTAAGCTGAATCTTAGTACCATAGAACTAGAGAACCTGTAGAACCTGTAGAGCTACATTAACAGGTCAAACTCAAAGCACTCTGTTAACTAAGGTACATGCTTTGCACCTTATATTTGATTTTTTTTATTAGTTAATGTTAATAAATTTTAGTAAAATTTAACAAAATAAAAATTATTGCACTTAATAAAATAAGTTCATAGATACTCTTGTACTTTTGTTCATTTAAGAATATTAGGTGCTCCTAAAAAAAATTGTTGAGTATTTTTGTCCTCTAACTTTTTAATCTTTTGACTTCACACAAACTTCCAATCAACTTAAATTGTTTTTATTGATTTTTGTTATTGCCGCAAATTACTATTAACAAGAAAGTGAATGATATAATTGTCTCCAAATATCTGATAAAAAAATAAAGTAGCCAACGCATTATATATGAGGAATTAATATAAACACAAACACGAACAAAATGCATTGTGTGTGTGTGTATAAGGTTAAAGTTATAATTCGCCCATTAAATTTTCTTTTTAAGTGCACTAGGCATCCTCAAGTTAAGGGTAACGTAATGTTGCCTCTCATTAAAAATTAATTTGATTGTTAGTTAATCTAATAGACCAGTGTTATTTGATCATTAGAGAAAAACAAAAAAATTATAAATAAGTATCATATAATAAAATTAATACTAATAAAGTTTTTTAAATTAGAAATAAATCTCAATAGACTAGTGTTATTCTTTTATCCCTATAAAATACCAAAAATACCATTTTCACAAATTACTTTCATTGGCTATTGATTGATGGGTTAATGAGCAAAATAGGCTTTGAAGTATTTCTTGAAAAGCGCTTTCAACCCTGAACTCTTAAAATATGCAAAATAAATTCTGAACTTTTAAATTTGTAGCAAAAGAAACTCTGATCGTTAATTTTTTTAATAATGTTATTGTCCACACAGGCATTGTTCACCATGGGTTCAAGTTAATGCTAACGTGTCATTGTGAATTAGTGCCACAAATCCTAAACTATTATGTTAGTAGCATTATGAATCCTAAACTATTATGTTTGTAGCGTTTTAAACCCTCAACTTTGAAATTTTGAGCAAATTATCCCCACCATTTATATATAGAATATTGATTATTATATATACCAAATTAGCTTCAACATGATTCGCTATGGTGAATACACCATTGGCCATGGTGAACGATCTATAATTTTGTGAAATGACATTTTTTTACCTCTTTTTTTTGGAAGTGTTTTCCAAAAAATTAATATCTCATGCTTCTGTATACTCTATAACTCTAATTTAGCCTTATTTTGAATGATGTTTATTTATTTAATGATAGAAACTTGGGATCCCATTTAAAAAGAACTTTAAATATTAGATAATTTTAATTAATTGACTAATTTGAGTTTTAAACTCATTGATAAAATCATCAACTTTTGCATCTATCATCTATAAAATCTTATGATACTTAAACTTGTTTCAAATGGGATCCCAAATTTTCATCATTAGATAAATAAATATAAGATAATTTTAATTAACCGATTAATTGAGTTTTAAATTCGTTGATAAAATCATCAGCTTTTGCATTCATCGTCTGTAAAATCCTATGATACTTAAACTTCTTTCCAAATGGAATCCCAAATTTTTACCATTAAATAAATAAATATTATTTAAAATAAGATTAAATTAAAGTTATAGAGTATACAGAAACATGATATACCAATCATTTAGAAAATATTGCAAAAAAGGAGTAAAAAAATGTCATTTCACAAAATTATAGGTCGTTCACCATAGTCAACAATGCATTCACTAAATTATGCTAGGGTTAATTTAGTCTACATAATAGTCAACGTTCTATATATAAATAATGGAGATAATTTGCTTAAAATTTTAAAGTTTAGGGTCTAAAATACTACAAACATAATAGTTTAGGGTTTATAATGCTAATAACATAATAGTTTAGGGACTATGGTGCTAATTCACAATGACACATCAGCATTAACCGGGGCCATGGTGAACAGTACCCGTGTGAATAGTAACATCATTAAAAAATTTAATAGTTAGGATTTATTTTACATATTTTAAAATTTTAAGATTCAAAGTTCTTTTCAAGCAATACTTTGGGGTTTATTTTGCTCATTAACTCTTAATTGATCATTGGATTACCATTGCTGACAACACCGCTAATTAATTTAAAAATATTATATTTAGTTTGATAACATCTTGTTAAAATGTTAATACTTTAATATAAAATCATTTAAATATTATTATTATTATTCACAAATCTTCACACAATTTACAAGTCAACCTTTGAGATATAAAAATTCTTCAAAATTTTGGAGGAAGAATAATAGATAATAATATTTAAATTATTAAATAATATTTTTTGTTAATAATATTATTAAATGTTAATAATCAATAATATTATAAATAATATTTTGTAACTTTCTGGGTTATCATATTTTTATAATTTTGTGGGTCAATTAACTGTCAAATTAATAAAGGTTTAATAGAGGAGCAATATTGCTCAATTTTTAATATATGAGATTATATCAC